CATTCTTTTTTCTTGTGAATAATATTTAATTAATAATAAATAATAAAAATTATTTTTTTATATTGTTGTATTATAATCTTTTGATTAAAAAAATTTTTATAATTCCGATCGTTCATTGTAATTGTTTTTATTATACACGTACATAATTTAAAAGTAGAATAAATTGTATTATCTTACCAAAAGCAATTTTTATGGTACATATGCGTAGATATTCAAAACATACAATTTCGTTTCCATTTTGTGCAACTTTTTCCAAATCTTCAATAAGTATTAAAGATTCTTGAACGAATGTATTAAAATATTCCTTCAATATGATCATATTAAAAGTCGGAGCTATCATTTTTCGATTTTCAATCCATGTAGATGCTAAATTCAATATTATAATAAAATAACAAAAGGGAAAAAAAGTATCAAGTCTTATAATAATAAAAAAAATATTTAAAAATAAGTTGCTTTTTAATAGCTTTATGGCATAGCTTTTACGGTGCAAACAAAAATATCTTATATGAAGTGAAAAACTTATTAAGATTTGTTAGAAATATGAATGAAATACAAAATAAAATTAAATGCAGCCATAATATCGTTCATGTTGCATTTTCTATTTTACATTGCAAAATAAATAAATAGATGATTATAAAAGGATAATCTTTAGTAGTTACAAATAAGTTATATAATTAAATAAGTATTCTATTTGTCTAAATATATCTTACCAGGAGCTGTCACTAATCCCATGCCAAATATTGGTTCTAGAAATTTGTACACGATACTTTTATTGAAACAGTGGCGATTTTGTAATATAATCTACAACATTACATATAATATATTTATTAATATTTATGCAAGTTTGCTTCAACCAAGTAATTAACATATACATAGCGAAAAAGTTCACGTGAACAAATTTCACATTTTTAAGGGTTAGAAAAGTTACATAATTCAATAAAATCATAAATAATCGTAAAGCTCACTTTTCACTTTTATATGTATAAGATTATATGTATAAGATACCTGAGCCGAATAAGATCCAGCACTAAATAAAGCCCACTTTTAAAATATTACTTTAAAACTTGCTTTACGCCATACTTAAAAAATGTGTCATAGGAAGTAGATAAAAAGGCTACTTTCTAGTGTAATAGAAATACCTAATAATAGTATTGTGGAAACATTAAAAATAATTAAAAAGGTAATTTTCACACTATTTGTTTTAGAAAAAATCAAGTTTGAAGAAATGTAAAAAAATTATTTATGTATAGTTATAAAATTATATACATATAATTGTGTATGAGCAATTTTTAAATATTTTTCCAAACTTGTTTTTTTCTAAAACGAACGATGAGAAAATTATCCCTTTAATTATTTTTTATGTGTGTTTTCACATTACTATTATTATTTCTATTACACTAAAAACTAATTTTACAAAAGAAAGAAGAATGTATGAATATGTATAGACATATTTCATATGGGGGAGATCGAGGCACCATGAGTCACAAAAATTCAAAGTGCATCTAAATATAAAAATTTGTATCATGTTTTTTAATATTATAATTAAAGCATAATGCATATTTTACAATTTTTAAATGTTACTCAACTTAAATTTCAACTCTCAAAATTGTCATTAATATTATCAATAATTTAAAATATCGGGTTAATTAAGAGTCAACAACTTGCGTAATTTATGCAGTAATATTAATACAATTGGTTTATTATTTTCAATCTTTATTCATACGTTTCGGCCTTA